ATAATAAATCCTATTGATAAAAACTTTGACTGATATACCCTCAACTACGCATCATATACCCTTTTATTTTCATATACCCTCATTGTTATAAACCCTTTCGTTCATAAACCCTTAAAGGGTATATGAAGTGGTTATAAACCCTTGAAGGGTTTATGGAATCGTTTTTCAAGTCAAAGAGTTGATTGTTCTACGGATTTTTTTTTCAGTGTGGTACTGCCGTTGTTGCTGATTTGCTGATAGTGGACGATGTTGTTGTCTCGGCTACAATAATATTTCGAGTTACTGAATCTAGTTGATTCATAAAACTCACTTGTTGAATAGAACGTGCCATTTTCTGGTGTACAAAAGTTTGTTAAAAACAATGGTAAACACACCACTTGTGATGAACAACACGAGTTAACGATACACACAGATGTGTTTGATGCACAGTCATACGTAATGTTGTTACATGGTTGCAGAATCGAACATAGAATACCAGGTGCACAATAGCTTACATTAGCGATTGTACGGTAATCAAAGCAAGATATTGATGACGAATCACAACTGCCATTATTGCTCGGTTTCGCACTGCATTGCGGTAGAAAACATTTAGAAGCAGGTTGCCATGCAGAATGAGACAGTGAGGAAGGCGTGAATTTCACAGTAAAATTGCTCGAACTACAAGAGTAACTAGGTGCTTCCGTACTTTGACCTCGAAATTGTTCATTTTGATGATAGATTGAAATGAAAAGAAATAGGCTACAGACCTTTTATACATAATAGAAAGATGCACAACGACCAGATTGTTAACAGTCGCATGATGCTTGTTTATCAATGATTGAAATAAATACCGAGAATGTATGTTTTTTACTGTTCTCTCGTATGCAACTCACTGAATTTTTCTTTCAATTTAAAAAGCAAAACTCTTACTTATGATGTCGGTGTCTATCATTGCAAATATGTACCTATGCCTGAAGTTGCTGCTTTATAATTCTATTTTCGGAGTTTGCAATGACTATAACTCTGTTCTTCTCTTGCAGGGTGTGGGTATGGATATGAGTGTGAGTGTGGATGTGGATAGAAACAAACCAACAGCCACGCTCACAGCAACACTCACATTCATACACCCACCCACGCCCTTATACTTTTTCGCTGGTCCTGATGTTTTTGTTTTTTCTCTATAGTTTCTCTCCTTCACACTTAAACAAATTTTTGTATTTACTTATTGCTTACGATTTCAGAGAAAAAAATCATGATGTGGCAAGATTTTTATTCCAACTAGCAAAATATTGATCGTAGGAGTGCTTATACTTCGAGTTTTACATTTCATTTTTTCGTAAAAAAAACATTAAGAGTTAGAGGAAAGGGTGTGGGTGTGGAGTGTTGGTATGGGTGGGTGTAGGTGTGAGTGTGGGTGGGTGTAGGTGGGTGTGGGTTTGGGTGTGGGTGTGTGGGGTGTGGGTGGGTGTGGGTGTGGGGTGTGGGTGGGTGTAGGTGGGTGTGGGTTTGGGTGTGAGTGTGGGGTGGGTGTGGGTTTGGGTGTGAGTGTGGGGTGGGTGTGGGTTTGGGTGTGAGTGTGGGGTGGGTGTGGAGCATGTGTGTGAATCTTTTTGCATCCGCACCCAGACCTTCTACTCTAGTGAAACTGATGACCAGGTTATTTGAAAAAAGAATAGTGACATAATGTAATGTCAAAAATTCGTTTCGAATATATAGGATGCTATCCAATGAAGTTTTTCTGCTGTGATTTTTAATATGATGTAGTTGATGTAAAATTGAAACTTAGATGGTCATAATCCCTGAATATGGTGCCGTGCTTATCACGTCTTACCGTGATATCAAGAAAATCACTGTTCTCTAAAATGATATATTAATACATAAAATAGAGACATAACTTCTTTCTAACCAAACAAGCAGTAAAACTAAGCCATAGCGAATAATTATCACAGCTATGGATACTTTTCACTTCCGGATACATATTCTTGTCGAATTTAGTCTTTTCCTCCAACTGTCCCACAGACGAAAAAGAATCAAAAAGAAACATTTTTTTATTGGCTTCAAATTCTCAGCAGTTTAGCTTTCGTTAAAATATATATAATATGATCAGTACGTGATGACAACTGGATTTATAACTCGTATCCAACTATGCAAAGCTTGCGCTAGACGGCCCTTGAATCACATAAGATTTCAAGCTTTTAAAAGCACTTTAAGTTTTGATGATAAGCGCAAAATATAAGCTATGTTAAGCTTGTTTTTTCGCTTATATATTTCCATGAGCAGATGTTAACACCATCATTTCTAGCAAACAATCGAAATTGAAGAAAGGCTGTCTGCTGGAAACAGATTAGCTACGAAGATTCACACTATAGCAGAGTTGTAACCGGTCAAATATTTTTCGACCGGTCCGGTCCGGCCGGTCCAAATTTCAGACCGGTCGGGTCCGGCCGGTGACCGACCGGTCTAAAAAGTAATTCCAGACCGGTAAAAAACCGACGAGTTTATGAAGTTTGTTCATAAGATAAAAGTAGTATTAGGGTCGAACTTTCCTTCTAGATATGCTTATAGATTTTTACCAAGAAGAAAACAGCTAATTTTTAAAAAATTTTTATCCATTTTAAAGAAAAATCATCAATGTAACAAGAAACTCAAAATATCACTCATTCGAAAAGGCCTAATCTTGAGCGTTTTGTGCCTTGTTTTCTTAAGTGTTTATTGCTTGAAGGTATAAGTAGAAGTTAATTTTAATAGAAAAGATGTTTCGCACATTTAGAGAATGAAGTTTTATTCACTTAACCTTTACCAATAACATAACGCTTCTCTCTCGATGATGGCTCGAACCTAAATTTTATCTTCACAAAAAGTGTATGAGATAAGTTTAACTTAACTAATACAGTTTCGAAAGCACTTTTAAAAAAATATAGCGTATATCGATTAAAGAAATGAAATAAATTGAGGAGCAAAAGAAAAAAATGTATGGTTTTTGAAGTAAAACATGTTAGTTATTTTGGTAAGGGCATAAAAACTTGTTATCAACAAATTTTATCTCAAAAATCTGTATATTTCTAAAATATATTTCAACCGGCGAAAACCGGCCGGTGGAACTGCTTCAACCGGTCCGTTCCGGCACCGGTCCGGTTACAACTCTGCACTATAGGTATTCCCGTAGATTATCAAAAGCATACCATCAAGTTATTTCAAAAGGAAATGTTGCTAGAAATTTAAAAACTTCTGATCAACTGGCTAACAAACAGAAAAACACATAGTTTTTGGTGACTGTACGTTCGGAGTATTCAGAATAAATCTAGATCTTTCATTATTTTTCAGACCGATCTAGTCTAATATGTAGATTTTTGCATATTCCTTTTTTGTTCTTTCATCTGCTGTTGACAACGAACAGGAACTTATTCGTCTAAAGTATAGAGTAGAAGCTTCGATCACTTTACGATTATTCTTTTATAGATACAGTATAATTGAGCTATTTGATTACAATAAAGAAAAACCAATTGTAAGTACATCGAACGTAGAAATATCTATGCAAACGATCAGATCCAGGGCGTTCACTGTTGCTTAATAATTTGATCAACTGAAACACATTCAATAACAAGAGTAGACATGACTCTCGTTCATCAAAATTTATCAAAACAAGATATTTATTAAAATAAAAACCATAGTGCACGCCTTTATTATTCGTCTCAATACCATTCCTTCCTCTTTCTTCTTCTTTTTTCTGTTCTATTTGTCCTTCCTCTCTCAAGTTGAAGACAAATAAATAGTGTATCACGTATGTTTGTTTGGATGCAATAAATGTTCTGCTTAAGTTATTTTCACCATATATACCCGCCTCATAAAATTTGTTGCAAGGCCCTTCTGAGTGGTATAATAAATTTACATAATGAAAAAAGGTTATTCACTAACATGTTTTCAGCAAAAATTGAATGTTTGACAAAACGAACACCGATTAATGTCTTTTGAAATATTAGATTTAATCATAAAAATTTTTTGAACTTCAATACCGTCTTAAATTATAGGGTTGTTTATTTTTCTAAAAACAAATGAATATGAACTAGATGGAAATTTTGAAAAAACAAAAACAAAACACGATGAAAATTGAGAAGCTAGGGATGAGTGTTGGTCTTCTGTTTACCGACAGCAACATTCTCAAGTCATTACAAAGTCTTTTTTTTTCAAACATAAGTCAAAACCTCTGAAAAGCATTTTCTCGATGAATATTCTAATATTTTCTTCATGTTTGAACCCGTTTGCAGTTACGCTTTTTGCTGCAAAAGCATTTCGTTTTTTTTTCATATGTCCAGTACCACTTTTTACGATGCCTATATTAATATTCTCGATGACATTATGAAGATTGATCGATAAATTTGTGTCGAATGTGAATCATTTACGTCTGATACCTTTTCATGGTCCATGATATAAATTGTATGTTAAGCATGAAAGTACAAGAAGGAAAAAACACATGTTTCACCTGTGTCACTTCCTTTCTATAAAAACTTCTATCATTTTTATGTCGCTATTTCACTCAAGCTATCATTATTGAAGGTAGTAACAGAGAGTATACTCGGAAATCGCGACGAAATTTTCACGATTTATATTCAGTAATAGTTCACTTAGACTGATATAGTTTTTTAATACTTTGAAAATACACGAGTAATCAATACTTCGTCGTTATATCAAATAGTACTTAACCGGTTACGTCCTTGAAATACTTTTTCTATTTCTTATTTTCGTGCAGGCTTAGAGAATAATAAACGAGAAATCTTTTACAAAAGAGTTCTAGTCTTAATAATGAAATTAAAAGTATTTTTCCAGATTCATGAAATATAAGAAAAACCTTTAAGTAATTATGTATGTTTACTCGTTCAGTGTTGAGCATAAATAAACATTATTCGTTGTTTTAGTTCTTTCTCGAAATTCAGTAGAAAAAATACATTTTTAATATGAATTCTTTTTGTATAGAGATGAAGATGGATTGTATTATGATGATCAGTTTTGCTGTATTCGTTTCTATGACTGAAGTTCATGCTCAGACTTCGAACGATAGTATTGGTGCAATCTATACAATGTCGAATGGAGCAGAAATGAATCAAATTATTGTCAATCGTCTCAATTCAAATGGTCAATTAACTTTGATTCAGACAGTTGACACAAATGGAACTGGAGTAAATACAACTGCGGCAGATCCATTATTTTCACAAGGTTCATTGCAAGTCTACTCTAATTGCCTATTTGCTGTTAATCCAGGTTCGAATACATTGTCAATGTTTTCGATCGATCCATGGAATGCAACCAAATTGACATTAGTTTCAGTGCAAGCAGTAAAAGGTTGGTTTCCTATTTCGGTTGCAGTCAATTCAATGTATGCTTGTGTCTTGACCGGTGGTAATGCAACAGGAATTCGTTGTTTTACCTATAATACATCAGGTTTATATGTTATATCATCATTTGATCGCGATCTAACATCATATATTTCGCAAAGTTTTCCTCCAAGTGGTCCGAAAGGAACTATGAGCGAAATCATATTTTCAGCTGACAATAGTGCATTGATTATTGCTGTCAAAGGATACAATAATACAATGCCTGGTTATCTTTTATTCTATCCATTCAATGGTTCGAACATGTTGGCAACGACACCAATGAAACAAACACCAACAAATGGTATATTACCATTTTCAATGACATTAGTCAATATGAATGGTTTATTAGTTACTGATCCTGGTCCAAATGGTGTTCTAACTATGAACTATATGGCAAAGAACGGCTCCATTTCGAACACTATGCTGACAATCATCAATTCGACACTAGCAGGTGCTCTCTGTTGGTCAACGTATTCACCGATGACTGGAAATTATTATGTCATTGGTTCAAATCCAGCAGCTATTGTAGAATTAAATGTTAATTTGAGTTCCACTTTGACACCTGTTCAAATAATTCGATACTATTCACTTCCAAATAATACAGGTGCACTTGATGCGACAGTTGTTAATGTGGCTGGTATGGATTATTTGTTTGTTATTGGTACAATAGCACATGCTATTAGTAGCTACCGATTGAATGGACCTGGTAATGCAATATATAATGGTGTTTTTACGGTACAACCAGGAAATATAACCAGTATACCTAAACTTGCTGGTATTGCAGCATTTATTCAGAAACCTTCTTCAGACGCTACGTTAATTCTACCATCGATCACCATTACTATTATTTATTTTATATACCTTTCAATTATTAAACCTATGTTTTCGTTTTAACAGTTCACTTATGTGAAGACAAAGACTGACAAATCAATTATAAACTTAATCATTATCGGTGTATAAACATTGACTTATCTAACAAACTGGTTTCGTTCTAAGAAACAGACAGCAAACTATGTTATACTTTCCGATTCATAAACATTTTAAGTTAAAAATTGAGTTTGAATTCTATTATCTCTATCAGAAAATTATATTTTATTCTTTTTAACATCATAATTATCTATACATTTCATAGTTGAAATTTGCCATGGTCTTCTGGTTGAGTTACCTATAAAAGTATTTCTTTTTTTATTTTGCTTGTCATATAGTTAAGAAACAAAATTCTCCATACATGTTGAAAGATCATGAGTGAGAATATAGAGAAATAATATCGAGTGGGTGTAAGAACTGAAATTTGACGAAAATTAGATTTGAGTATTGAGATTTATATTCGCTACAGATTTGTATGGTTATTCTACAAATTTATAAGTAGCTCAACGAGCTCTGTTCAATATTTCGAATAGACGACCTCTTACAAAGAGAGGGAGAAGAATGATTTATTTCTTTTTTTTATTGAGTTCGCATTCTATTATTTTTGAAATACAATAATTATATATAATAATATTAGTTGAAGCATCATCATATATCACAGAAATGTCGAGAATTATGATTAGAAGCAGAAAGATAACAAGTGAATCTTGAAAAAATATCTCTTTTTTGTTATTGTTTATGAAAGAAATGAAACAGTATACTTTTTCAAAAATAATTAAAGTTTGAAAATTATGAAAGTATCAATCAGACGTTGATGAGATGTGCATTCAAAAACTATTAAATATAAGAAGACTTTCAAATAAAAAACAAATCCATACATATATTATACATATCCAAAACGCACCGTTCACATAAAAAATGTAAAACAATAAAACAAAGTTTAAAAAATCTGACATAAACAATGAATAAAAAAGACACTGATACAATAGTATCTGACACTTCGGTCATACAACATTTCACTAATTATGTTGTATAAACACAAACGAAAAAAAAAACCACTTGATCGATTACCATTCTACTTAAACTGTGGATGATCTAAAAACTCAGATTTTATTTCACAATCAATATTAATATACGATTCTTACTTTTATTATCAATATCACTGATAATCATTTCATATTGAATTCTTTTTTGCACATCCAAAATCGATGAATCAAAATATGATGAAGTTGTCGGAGTAGTTGTATAATAAGCCAAAACTGGACCGATTCCATATGGTGAATGATGGAAAACAACATATCCTGAAATAAAATCATTAATGTAGTCTAATCTATTTCTAGTTTTTCTAATGAATTTTTATTTAAAATCAAAATATAATTTATACCAAAACTCCAATCAGAAATAATCCGTAGTGTTCTTACCCAATATTAAAAAAAATTTTTTTTTCTTTTTCAAAATTTCCTATTATTATTATTATTCCAATATATATTTGTATTTTATTTTCCAATAGATCGACGAAATAAATATTCCACACAACCAATAATTAAAAATTTTAGTTTTTATCTCGCTCTCTAAATTTTGTTTTTTATAAAATAAATGAAAAATCAAAAAAAAAGAAATTGGTTATATTTAGTTTAGTGTGATATGACAAAAATTTTTTTTTTTTGTTTCGTTTTTTTTTTTTTTTATCGAAAGAGAAACGACGATGAACACTTTTGGTCCAAAAAGCAAAAAGCACAGAACAGAGAGAAAGAATGAATGACACAGACATAAACAAATGAATTAAGAAAAAGTCTTTTGTTTTTTTTTTTTTTTTTCTATACAAAAAAACTAATCTTCCTTCTTAATGTTTTTTTTCTTGTTGCTTTTTTTTTTTTTTTTGGTTAATTATCTTTATAAACATTGATGAGAAAACAAAAAGAAAAACACGAAAAACGAAGAAATTTATATATGTGTGTATGTGAACAAAATTCGATTGTCTCGATTTTCCAAGTTTTCGGGAAATAGGAACGAGAGAGAGAGAGAGAAAGAATTCATTTTTTTTTTCTTTGGCCCACTGTCTTTTTCGAAAAGTTCACCTCTCACACACGTTGGATCATCTATAGACAAAGCTCAGTTCCAGCTATAACTGGACTGTTGCTGTGAGTTGTTGTAGCCCTGATCTTGATACCAATTTCCACCAGCATTTTGTTGTTGTTGTGGACCATTATTGGAATTATCATTACCATCACCACCCATAGCTCCCCACGATCCAGTATCTGGACGTGATCGTTTCGACATATTACCATCGTTCATCTGGTTCGGTGGTCGTTTCATACCTCCATATGATTGATTTTGTTGCATTGGATTCATGCCAAAACCACTGTTACCCATGCCCATTTGATTTGATGGTCGACCAAATGATTGATTATTGTTTTGTGATGGACCATTAAATGCGCCAAAACCACCTTAATAAAAAGAAAATCTATACTTTTTTTCAATCATAAAATTATTTTTATTCTACCTTGATTATTATATCCACCACCCATTTGATTGTAACCACTATTATTGTTATTATATCCACCAGAATTATTCTTTAAAAGAATGAAAATAAAAATTTTAATATTACAAATAATTTGTTTTCTTTTTGCTTACATTTTGTGGTGGTCCACCATAATTTCCTCGGTAATTATTACTATTAAAACCACCACGATTATTTGGATTAAAATTATTATTTCCACTTCGATTACTCGAATTAAATCCACCTCCACGATTACCTGATGAACCACCGGAACGCTAAATAAAATTAATATTCATGTCTTTTATTTCTTTTTAATAACCAAACACTACTATAACATTTTGACTACAAAATAGGATATACGTAGACTTATAGAGAAAGCAATTGATATTGCATATATTATTAAATAGATCAAGTCTTTCTCTATAACCTTATGTATATCCCATTTTGTAGTCAAAATCTTCTAGTCATTTTTTCAATCACTTACACCACCACGATTATTGCCTCGTTGAGATGGTCCTCCTCGTGATGATGATGATGGTGGTGGTGGTGGTTGTGATGGACCACTGTTCATTAAATTATTTCCGCTGAAAGCACCAAAAGTATTCACATCTAAAAATTAAAACAGATATATATATATCATTAAAAAATCAATAAGAAAATATATACTGAATCGATCATCAGATCGTCCACCACCACCACCGCCGCCGCGTGGTAGATCATTATTAAAACCACCAAAACCACTTGATGCTGGTCCACCTGTAAATCCACTTGGTGTATTATCACCAAAATTATTTCTCGGCCCATCAAATGGTTTTCTTTGTTCACGTTTTGACTGTGCTTGTTTTCGTTTATCACTTAATGGTTTAGCTAAACTAACTTCAATTGAATTTCGACCAAGAATCTTAAAATTTTAATAATTATATTCAAAATAATTTCAAAAAAAAAAAATTATTCTTTTACTTTTCCATTGAGTGCACGCATTGCATTTAATGCATCATCTCGTTTATCAAAATGAACAAAAGCATAATCCTATACATTAATTGAAAATCAAAATTTTTCTTATTTTTTTTTTTTTGAAATAAAATTATTTAACATACTCGAACTTTTCGTACACGTTCAATATTTCCATATGGTAAAAAAAAATCTTTTACATCATTTTCTGATACATCCGATGTTAAATTTCGTACATATAAAACTTTAACTTGTGACATTATATCATCATCAGGTTCTTCATCTGGATCAGCCCAATCAACAGCAATATCACGATTAAATACCTTAAAAAAAATTTTTTTTTTTAAATAGATTAAAAACAACATTATTCTTACTCGAACACGACCATTAGCTAATTTTCGTTTAGCAGCTGAAGCATTTTTATGTGTATCAAAATCAATAAAACAAAATCCACGATTTTTTTTCTTATCAGCTTCATCAGCTGGTGTATAAATAATAACTTCTGTTACACCTTCTACAGCTTTAGATAATTCTTCTTTAATTTCTTCTTTTGATTTTGTTTTTGGTATATTACCAATAAATAATCGAAGATTAGCAACACTACTATTTGCTTTTATTGGTTTTCCTGGACGAATTTCATAACCATTAAGCTAGAATAAAATTTTTCAACATAATTTCATTACTAAGAACGATTTATCACAAGAGATATGACATAAAAATAAAACTGTTCTATTTAGAATATTCACAAGTCAAGAAAGGCGCTTTCGTATATTCTAGAACGTCTTTTTGTCATTACTAAGAAATTATATATATTCTTACTTGTTCACATGCTTTTGTTGAATCACCTGGAAAACAATATGTAACAAAACAATAACCTTTATTAAAGCCTGATGTTGGATCAATCATTAAACGTAAATCCCAAATTTTTCCAGCTTTTTCACATAATGGAATTAATTCATCTTCAAATATTTCACGTGGAAGTTTACCAATAAAAACCTTATTTCAAAAAAAAAAAATTCATGTTTTTTTTTTTTTTCCTCAAATAATTTACATACTTCACTACGATTAGTTGGTCGATCAGGTCCATCAGGTGGTGGTCCACCATATTTACGTTGACCAGCTGTAATTTCAATTTTATATCCAGTTCGTTCAATAATTTGCTAAGAAAACAAAAAAAAAAAAAATTACGATTTCTTTTTTTTGTTTTTGTTTGTTTTACTTTTAATTTTATTTCATCAGGACCAGGTTTATGTGTACGTGCATTTTCACCAAAACCTTGTCCTGATTGTGAATCATTCGATGAAAATTTTTCTTGTTGTGGATTACGTAATTTCCATTGTTTAATAAAATTACATAGAAATGCACCTTTATTAACAACACCGGTTAAATCGGAATCATTAAATTCATTAAATAATGTATCAATACATGTTATATCATCAGAAAATGAACGTAATTGTTCACATACACGATTATCAATATCACTTGAATTTAATTTACCTATATCAATTAATGAACGAATTTTTTGTACAATTTTTTCATTTATTCCTTGATCAGTATATGGTTTTTCATTTTCATT